TTCGGGTCTGTGGGACCCGTTTTCACTTTTTATCAAAAGAAAAATTATACTATAAATTATTTTTTCAAACTCAGACTCATTGGCCTTGGCTCATTTTCTGTGAAGAACATATATCAGAACACATTTTCAATGACTACTCACTGTACACCCCCCTACATTATATTATATTACATACAGGATGTTCGGGTCCACTGGACCCGGGGCTAATAAAAGAGTGGAAATTTTTGCTCCTTTGTACCTTCACTCTGTCCTCCTATTGTCTGGGCCTGCTATTAGTATGTGTATGTGTGTTTATGTGTGTGTGTGTGTGTGTGGGGGGGGGAGAGAGAGAGTCTGTAAGAGTGTGAGTGTAAATGTGAGTTTTGTGTTTCTGTCCCTGCGACACTGTAAAAAATGTGTAAAAACATTTGAATTTTAGCGTTAAAAACTGTAAAAATGCTAAATAATTCTTAATTGTTAACAGTAAGTTTTTTTTATTGTAAATAAGTTTGATCCATAAACCTAAAACCTAAAGCCGCGTGGGGGTTTTAGGCTAACCGACCATTTCAGATTTGCTTTTTACAGGCTAAAACATGCATGTAAAAAAAATACTATGGCACTATAGATAAATCAAATAATTTTGATTCATTATTTAACTATTTGTATATTTTTGTATGTCTTTAGACGGTTTGCAATAAGGAAGACTGTCTTTTTCACCACAAACTTTTGGAAAACCATCGTGACGTGTATTACTCCACCAAGCATGGCATACTGCTTAACCTGGATGGGGTGTGTGTAAAAACATTTGAATTTTAGCGTTAAAAACTGTAAAAATGCTAAATAATTCTTAATTGTTAACAGTAAGTTTTTTTTATTGTAAATAAGTTTGATCCATAAACCTAAAACCTAAAGCCGCGTGGGGGTTTTAGGCTAACCGACCATTTCAGATTTGCTTTTTACAGGCTAAAACATGCATGTAAAAAAAATACTATGGCACTATAGATAAATCAAATAATTTTGATTCATTATTTAACTATTTGTATATTTTTGTATGTCTTTAGACGGTTTGCAATAAGGAAGACTGTCTTTTTCACCACAAACTTTTGGAAAACCATCGTGACGTGTATTACTCCACCAAGCATGGCATACTGCTTAACCTGGATGGGGTGAAACAGGTGTTCATAGCGGGACAAAACCTCCCACAGTCCTCTCTCTTCTTATCCGAGAAGAACACTGTTCCACTGGAGCGCCTGCAGCACCGGGAGAGGAGAAACCGACAGGTGAATCCATCAGACCCGCTGAACGCGCTCCGGTACGCAGAGGCGTCAGACTCCAGAGCTGCTCAGGAGGATGATGGGGACTTGGACTTTGAGCCGTCAGAGGGTCGAAACATCTCCAGGGAAACTCTGGTTTCCCCTTCCGATGATGACCCGTGGGATCTTCTTCACGACTCGAGCCCCGGCAGTCCCCGGATTTCAGCAGTTGTCGGATAAAATTACAGATCCTCCATGGCTGGACTGTTGAACCGCCGCTGCTTTGCGCAAAGTCGATGCGCCAGCGTTTTCATCATAAATAGCCTAAGTGTTTTTAAGGACATATATTTCAAATCAATTTCACGTGTGCATTCTAAAAAGTAAAGGTTTCAAAATAAAGGGTTTTTGCAGTGATGCCATAGAAGAACCATTTTTTGGTTTCCCAAAGAACAGTTCTTAAAAGAACCATTTTTTTTCTTAGTGTGAAGAACATTTAATAATCTGAAGAACCTCTACTACAGGGGTGCCCAACCCTGTTCCTGGAGATCTACCTTCCTGCATAGTTCAGTTCCAACCCTGATCAAATACACCTGTCTGTAATTATCAAGTGCTCCTTCAGATCCTAATTAGTTGGTTCAGTTGTGTTTGATCAGGGTTGGAGCTGAACTCTGCAGGAAGGTAGATCTCCAGGAACAGGGTTGGGCACCCCTGCTCTACTATAAAGAACATTTTGTTCCTCCATGAAACTTCTTGGAACCATCAGTGCCAATAAAGAACCTTTAGTATTTTTAAAAGTGGAGATCTACAGGTTATTTAGGCTGTTTTGTATCTGCATCTCACCAAACCGGAAGAACCAAAACCGTTTTTTACATCATCATGAATTTGTCTTTGGTGCTGGACACCACCTGTGGAAAACAATTGTCAACCAATAAAGTATTTATTTATTTAATGAATTACATAAGTTTTATTTATGGTATTTATATGGCTGCTTTAAGTGTTAGATGTGCAGTGAAATGTTATAGGCCCGTTTTAAATAAATAAAAATTTGTTTCTTGATCAAAGAAAATATGTTCTTCTATTTATTTGTGTCTTATTTGTCTTCAGTAGGAAAAAGTAAGTAAGTTAATTCAAAATCATCTGTTTATCGCTTGTTGGTTGCTGCACTCCTCATTGGAAATTTGGTTTAACATTGACTTTCCCATCATTAGAGGTGAATAATGAACACTTAGAATCAATCTGATATCAGTCTCTAAGAATAAACCTTTCCACATTCCGTTTTGTTTCCAATGTCAAAGGCTGCACTTTGACTATTTTTGGATGAAGGGGCTTGGAGCCAACCTTTAAGTTACGCTATGACCTGCTTATGCTAAAAGAAGATTTAGACTTAGTTGATTTGAGGATTATGTCTTGAATTAAGGCAAGACACCGGTGAATAAGGTAAACATTTTAATCAGCTATCCCCAGTTGATTTATTACAAGTTTTCTGAAGTTATTTTAAACATGCAAATCATGCATTGTCTTATTAAATGTGCACACATTTCCAGAAAAACAAAACAAAAAAACAAATAGGATAAAATCTGGTTTAAAAGCCTTCAGGTAAAAAATGAACAAACCCCTCTGTAAAAACATCCAGAATGTAGAGGTGAGGACAGGATTTTTGGCTTAGATGCAAATAACATGTAACAAACAATTAAATTGTGAATTTTGGATGATTTCTTTTCATTAGTCTGAAAAAAAATGACATTCTATGGAAGCAAAGCCCAAAACCTCAAAAAATATATATCAGGCCTATGTAGCCTATGTCACAGTCCGACTTAATCTGCTTATAACATTTATAAATCTGCTTATAAACATTTTCCCCAAAATACTCTGCTAAGTATTTCCAAACGACTTTAATTCCTTTACTGAGAGACAATGTAAATTGTTAGAAAAGCAAGAAATATTAAGAAAATTCACAGAAATAACTAACAACTATAGGCATCAGTGTACCAACATAAAACCTTAAAAACAAAACATTATAACGTTCATTTTAATTTATAAATGAAAGCATTTAATGTGACGTATTCCCGCGTCCACGCTTAGCCAGTGCAGAACCATATCCGCAGATTCGAGATTTTTTGCAAAATGCACAACAAGCTTGTACAAGGTAGAACAAGTTTCGGTTTTTCATCCATATAATAATTAGAAAAAATACATTATATTTTATCCATTACCTAATGTAAAACTGGAAACAAAGCGATAGAAAATGTTTTAATGAATTGCAAATTGGTGAATTCAAAGATTGATTTCCGCCGTTTGTTTTCAGGCGGGTTGCGTTAGTGTACATCAGCTCGCACTAAAACAACATGCATATAAAGCTTTTGACACAAAGGCAGACTTTCTAAGTGACCATTATGTTTTTAAATTTACAATTATTTTGATTGGTGGTTGTTCTGCAACATAACGTTCAGTAGATACAAAAGGTTGTTAAAATACTGCGGTAGTGTCAGTATTTGAATGTATATTCACAGGGCATAACGTGACATTTTATTTTTTATTTTTGATATAAAGAATGGACCGACCATCCAGGTGTGTATGTATGTTTTCCAAATACGTCCATACCTTCATTACAAAATAAGTTAATCGATACCTTAGATCATGGTTGTCGTGTCACTTTCTATATCTATATGTGTTTGTTGTTGGATCTGTATGATAGCTGTTTGTCTGTGGCATTTAATGTCCTGCTATTTTCATGAACAATCACTGTGAGTTCAGAAAACTGGAATGTCAGTTACTTGTTTGATGCAATCTGTTTTTCTACCTGTCATCAGAGATAAAAAAGCTGTCAACTACGCAGTCTTACAAGACGATGATGGTGAGAGATTTACATTCATAATATTACTTCAAAATGCTCAGAGCTAAAGCCAGTTAGACCTATGAACCTATGTTTACACGATTTATGTGACAGGTGAAGATTTTGCATGTGTGAAACCTCCTCCCAAAAAAGCTCGAACAGCCATCAAAGACCCTGATTCTTTGAGAAACCACAAAACTACAAGTGCATCTCCAAATGAAGTCGTTGATCTCACCAGCTCAGGAAGCCGGAAGAGGTTACAAAAACTTTTCTATCAAAACACTTTTTATTACTAATTAGCTCAAATTCAGAGTGTAATTATAATATCAACACACAGAAGAGCAGTAATGGACCACTGAGTATATAAATATGTAATAGCACCATTGACGGGTGACTGTTGTGTTGTTTCAGGACGTCTGTGGATGATAAACTTTATGAAAGAGATTTAGAGACGGCTCTATTGTTATCATTGCTGGACAGGACACAGGATGGAGAGCCTACAACCAAAACAGGTGAATGTACTACTAGCATAATGAAGCATTATAGAGTTCATTCAGGTGCAGAGCTATATTTTACTGTTATTTTATGCCTCTCTGTGTTCTGCAGATGATAATGAAAGTTCTCAGCCTCCTCAGTGTTCGCCACCGGTTCTAATTCACTGTAGTGCTGAGGGCAGCCATTTAGGTAATAAGGAATGATTGTTTTGTCTTTTACAAGGCCACAACCTGATTCTATCTTCTTCGGTTATTTGTACAGATTCTAAGTACATGTTTATGGAGCTTTATTTGACATATTTCCATGCAAAAACCTCTAAACAAAACTCCCTTGATTTTGTACAGTTGGCGAAGGTCAGCCTGCTCCAGATTCTCCTCCAGTGCTGTCAAATTGTAGCATTGATGGCAGAAGTTTAGGTAATGCAGGTTTATTATTAGTCAGATTTTAACAAATTTGAAAATGTAAAACTCTTTTTGAGAATACAATGGAGCTGATATAAAAAAACAAACAAGACTTCTATGATTGTTACAATTTGTAATTTTCTATGCATATGCACCTCTGTGTTTTTTACTGTCCTGTTTTCAGGGCTGAATCTGATCAGTATAGACACCTCCCCTACCAGTGTTTCTAAACAGAAGGAAACCTCAAAGGAGCAGAGAAAACCACTGAAGGAGAAGAAGGACAGCAGAGACGATGAGGACTACCAGCCTCAGAACACACCAGGTAATCTGAGGACCTTCACGCTGTTAATTATTATGGAGCTAGACTCTGCTGCTTATGTTTTCAGTACTTACATGGTGAAATGTCGTACTTCAGATACACAATGTAGCCATTTGTTTAAGGTTGTTCCTGTTGCAGATTCAGAGAGTGATGCAGACTTCACTGAAGAAGATGAGAGTGAAGACGAGACATTCACTGTGAAAAAGAAAAAGAAGGTGGTGAAACAAAAGGCACCACCGGCTGCGAAGAACAAGACAGAAAAAAAAGACAAAAAGCCAACAAAAGCCTCAAAAGCTAAAAGCTCAGGTTCTTTTTTTCAGTTTTTAAATTTTGCAGTCTGGTGAAAGATCATATCAGCTATAACATCTCTTTCTCTGACAGCTCCCATCCCAGCGATCTGTCGGAGTCCAGCTGCTCCTGTGTCTGGACTGAAGAAGACGCCCACTACTCCGCCTCTCTCTAAACCTGCAGTCTGCTCCAGTCCTGCAGGGGCCAGACTGCCTAAGTGGAATCCCCCTGGTGAGACCAAAGGCTCAAACCATCACTGTGCAGTTGTGACTTGTCCAGAACAGCTCAAAACAGCAAAAGTGTCCTCTTGTAAACGCTTTCTAACTCCAGGTCAGGTTGGTCGGAGTCCTGGTGCATCTCAGAATGCACATGTGAAGTCTCCCGGACAGGGGCTGCGTTTAGGACTTTCCCGTCTGGCTCGAGTCAAACCCCTTCACCCTAATGCTGCTGCGAACTAAACAAGCTTGTTTTAAAGAAACAATGTAATCGAAAGCTTCACAGCGGCTTTTGGTAACTCGTAGTGCATGGGGCATCTCTTGGCTTTCATGGTAGGAAAAAAATGGTAAGAAGTCTGTTTTCAGAATGGATATTTATTTCTGAAATTTGTCCAGAATTTAAAACCTTTCATCCCTCGCTTACATTAATATAGGGAAGAAATAACTTCTTTGTTTTGCTTTAAATATTTTTTATGTCTTTTTAATGGTGTGTTTTAGCTTTGTAAATATGCACTTTTTGATAAATAAATTGATAAATGATAAATATTTTTTGATAATATGCTAAAATCAGTTTTTCCAAATATTCTGCATCACATTTCATTGTTGCATAATGTGTGCATCACTTGTCTTGTAAACCTTTTCCTTATTTGGTGTTCCCAGTCAAAAATGACTAGCCTTTTAAAAAAACTGCCTGTAAATTTCTCATTATGCATTATGATAAAACTGAGGTGCATAAGCTCAGATCAGGCCTGCGATCATTCAGTTCCAAAAAGAAATACAAAATCTGTGCAGATTGAAAGGAAACAAGATTGAATACAATATTTGGTAATAATATAGCATAACAAGAAATTTATAAACTCAAATTGGGAACACCAAAGTACCAAAAAAGCACAA